TCTGTGAGTTCGAGGCCAGCCTGGGCTACCAAGTGAGCTCCAGGAAAGGCGCAAAGCTACGCAGAGAAACCCTGTCTCGAAAAACCAAAAAAGAAAAAAAAGAAAATGGAGGGCTGGAGAGATGGCTCAGAGGTTAAAAGCACTGGCTGTTCTTCCAGAGGTCCTGAGTTCAATTCCCAGCAACCACATGATAGTTCACAGCCATCTATAATGAGATCTGGTGCCCTCTCCTGGCGTTCAGGCATACATGGAGGCAGAATGTTGTATACATAATAAGTAAATAAATCTCTGAAAAAAACAAACAAACAAACAAAAAAAAAAAAACAGAAAGGGGCTGGAGAGATGGCTCAGAGGTTAAGAGCACTGACTGCTTTTCCGGAGGTCCTGAGTTCAATTCCCAGCAACCACATGGTGGATCACAACCATCTGTAATGAGATCTGGCGCCCTCTTCTGGCCTGCAGACATACATGCAGTCAGAACATTGTATGCATAATAAATAAATAAATCTTAAAAAAAATAAAAACAGGAAGAAAGAAAATGGGATGGTATTTGCATGTAAACTATACATACATACCTAATAAACTTAAAATGCTGTCTAGATTACTTGCAATACCTGATATAAGGTGAGTGCAGTGTGAATAGTTGTCATGCTGATTTGTTTACAAAGATCTAATCCATCAATGTCTATAGTTCTGGGCAAATATTCAAATGTGCTAGCCTTGTTTTTTAACCCCTTTAGTTCTACTTCTGACTGTTTTTGTCAACTGAAATATGTCAACCCCAAAACATGGTTTTTATGCTCAAAGGCTCACCCTGAGAAAGGCTCAATACTACACCGGAATCCCAAATACCCAGCTGTGGTGATATATTGTGTACCCTAGTAAAATTTGCCTGAATATCAAAGAACAGAACAAGCCACTAGATTAAACATAGATGCCAGGCAGTGGTGGCACACACCTTTAATCCTAGCACTCAGGAGGCAGAGATCTGTCTGGATCTGAGTTCAAAGCCACCCTGGATTACATGAGATTGATTCAGTCTAGAAGAGAAACAGAGCCAGGCAGTGGTGGTGCATGCCTTTAATCCCAGCACTCTGGAGGCAGAGCCAGGTGAATGTCTGAGTTTCAGGCCAGCCTGGTCTACAGAGCCAAATCCAAGATAGGCACCAAAACTACACGGAGAAACCCTGTCTCGAAAAAACAAAAAACAAAAAAAACAAACAAAAAATTAAAAATCTTATCTTGATACTAAAAAGAACTTCAATTCAAAAATTGTTTTTATTACAAACTGTTAAAGATGATTAAGCCTTACGATGTTTAAAACTATACTTAAGTCATTCTAAAGACTAATGTAATCAAGTACAGAAAAAATTTATCTAGCCTCTTATATATTTTCAAGGTATAGTCTAAACCAAATAACTAAAAACAAACAGGAGTTGTTTAGCTCAAGTCCTCAAGCTGTCAGATTTGATGAAGATGGCATTTAAGATATGTAAACTTATATAACAGACAGAGACTCTCAGATCCTAGCAGCGACTCCCAAGGTCCCCAAGAAGACAATGGGCATAGCAACAGGCAACTCCACCTGGACTACAGTAATGCTAACCAGCTGACCACTGGGCAAGACTGCCCCAATGCCTTGCCTTCTGCCAAGGCCCAGCCCAAACTGTGGGCAATCAGGACACTGGAGAGTTGATGCCCTGCTTTGCCTAGACAACATGAGGCCAATCTCCCCATATTCCTCATCCCCAGGAAAGCCTCTCATCCTCCAGACCTGGCAGCCAAGATTGCTGTCCTGATGACTCTGCCCTCATCTCCACCGAGTCCACAGGAGCCTGGGATATCTTTCTAGGTAAAGACTATAAACCAGCCCCTGTCATTTGGTTAATCCTTCTCAGATCTCTGACACTGACCACTAGGCTAACTGTAGCTTTGTCAGCTAGACAACAGCAGGCAACCAGCTCCTTCCCTCAAGGCTGCAGCTACCTTGTTTGTTCATTAGTCAGTTCACTAATTAGTTAAAGCTACTAGGTCTCTTATTTAAAAAAGGTAAACAGGTTTGCCTTGTTCACAAGCTTCGTATTAAAGAATACACAGGTTTCAGATGTAACTTTTCATTAAAAGAACATACCTTACTTACAATGGCTGTTCTCAATAATAACTATTCCTATCTCTGGTAAAATTCACTTTCTAATGTTAAAAATATGATGCAAAAAAGTATTTTAAAAGAACATAAAATTGGCTTGGTCTAGTTACTATGCTGAGAGACATGTATCATACATAGGTTTTTCTGATTATGTCTCTCTATAAGTTCCCTTAATAGTTAAAAAAAAAAAAAAAAGCCTGACAGGACAATTGGTCTTGGATATCTTATACACCCTGTATGACTTGCAAACTTGTCAAAATATGTCATTACACTGAGATTTCAGAGGCTTAGAGTTTTAACATTAATAAAAGAAGTTCGGATAAACTGATAGAGCACTGAGTACTCACTATTCTATAAGCTCAAGATTTTAAATTTTCTTTTTTTTTTTTTTTAAGATTTATTTATTTATTATGTATACAGTGCTCTGTCTGCATGTGTCCCTTCAGGCCAGAAGAGGGCACCAGATCTATTATGGATGGTTGTGAGCCACCATGTGGTTGCTGGGAATTGAACTCAGGATCTCTGGAAGAACAGCCAGTGCTTTTAACCTCTGAGCCATCTCTCCAGCCCCTAAATTTTCTTTATAGACTTTTTTTTTTTTT